ATTTTGTTCCTGCCGATTGAATAAGAATCAAATACAATCAAGTGGAATAAAATTCTAATGAAACACAAAATTTTTTAAAATTAAATTAACTAAAGAGAGAAGGTAGGACGAAAAAGATAAAAAATCAATATAAATAAGTAGAAAAACTTATTAGATACCATTGACTCTGGTATCTACTGGTATCTAATAAGTTTTACCTACTATTGGATTTGAACCAATGACTCCCGCCGTATGAAAGCAATACTCTAACCACTGAGTTAAGTAGGTCATTTATCATCACAAAGAGAAACAAATGGGACCTATCACATTGATGGATTATAAATGTAATATTAATTATAAGCAATACCAATCAAACGGATCAAAGAGATATAATGTTGGATCATGTAATATTCATCTTGACAAGAAATTATCTACATGATAAAATATGTATCACAAGCACAAGGGCTATAGCTCAGTTAGGTAGAGCACCTCGTTTACACGCGCGCCAATGTTTTTCAGAGGAGTCCATCATGTAATCAAAAAAATATTTGATCTTATTGATAAATTGATGTCTTACTCTATGACTTTTAGGGAACAAAACAAGAGAACAATAGCCTGACAAAGGGTTTGGTCCGATTCGGTTTCCCATTTAGGTGCCAATATAGAACCCATCATTGATTTGAGATATTGATAAGGCGAATTACCTGTCTATTCAATGCCAGGCATAATGAGTATAAGGACCTCAAAAAAACTCTCTTTTCGTCCTCTCTTCTGAACTTTAAGGTGTATGAAGTTTCATATTTGATTCAAGCAGGGCGATAGAAACTCCATTTAACTTAAGTTGATCTAGGCCAGAAGCAGACCTACGTCAGGATAACCCTTCTTTGAAACACTTTGGTAGTGCTCCTGGATGAATCCACATAATGAATCAGAGCACATGGAGCCATCCTTTTATCTTTCTGTCAATAAAAAATATGGTAGACTAGCCGATATTTATATTAGTTAATGAAAGAGCCCAATGCAAAAAAATGCACGTTGGGTCTTTGAAACAGTTCAAATCATTTTGATAATAATAAGTTTGATCTGTTTTACCGAGAAGGTCTACGGTTCGAGTCCGTATAGCCCTAAAACCTAAAAATTAAAATAAAAAACGAAAAGAAAATAAAAATATGATATTATATAATAAAAAATAAAATTTACTAATAAATATATATATTATTATATAGATAATATGTATAATATATATAATTTATAATATAGATTTTATATATTTTTATTTTCTATTTCTAATATAATATATAGTATATTATTATATATTATATAGTATTATATTATTTATATAGTATTATATTATATAGTATATAGAAGAAAATTCTATAGAATTATAAATTCTAAACAAAAAATGAGATTTTATATTTGTAATTCGTTTTCTTTAGTTCTTTAGAAAAAATCTGAAGTGCGGCGAAAACGAGAGAGTCTTGTTTGTATAAAATCAATATATACTTATATTTATTATATCTAAATTATATCTAAATACAAAGTAATAGAAATAAAATAGAATTACAGTGGATGAATCTTGAAACAAGACATGTACCGTAGCAAACAAATGAAACTAGGCGGTTCGATCAAAATAAATTGTTGTTTTGACTACAGTTATGGATAATTTTACAATTAATTCGAATCGACTAATCCGGTATATTTTCCACATTAATAGGAGTACGTCTATGTTTCTGCTTTACGAATATGATTTTTTCTGGGCATTTCTGATAGTATCAAGTGTTATTCCAATTTTGGCATTTCTAATTTCCGGAGTTTTAGCCCCGATTAGCAAAGGACCAGAAAAACTTTCGAGTTATGAATCGGGCATAGAACCAATGGGGGATGCTTGGTTACAATTTCGAATCCGTTATTATATGTTTGCTCTAGTTTTTGTTGTTTTTGATGTTGAAACGGTTTTTCTTTATCCATGGGCAATGAGTTTCGATGTATTGGGAGTATCCGTATTTATAGAAGCTTTAATTTTCGTGCTTATCCTAATTGTTGGTTCAATTTATGCATGGCGAAAAGGAGCATTGGAATGGTCTTAGCTCTTGAATAGTCATCAAACAATAAAAAAAAAATAACAAAGATTGAGACAGTTATGAATTCCATTATTGAATTTCCTTTACTTGATCGAACAACCCAAAATTCAGTTATTTCAACTACATCAAGCGACCTTTCAAATTGGTCAAGACTCTCCAGTTTATGGCCGCTTCTCTATGGTACCAGTTGTTGCTTCATTGAATTTGCTTCATTAATAGGCTCACGATTCGACTTTGATCGTTATGGACTGGTGCCACGATCTAGTCCTAGACAGGCAGACCTAATTTTAACAGCAGGCACAGTAACAATGAAAATGGCTCCTTCTTTAGTGAGATTATATGAACAAATGCCTGAACCAAAATACGTTATTGCTATGGGAGCATGTACAATTACAGGGGGGATGTTCAGTACCGATTCTTATAGTACTGTTCGGGGAGTT